ACCGATCCATAATAACCACATACCTGCTCACGACCAACAAGGGTCCAACCACGCGAGAACGGAACAACACAGCAGAAAATTCACAAAATGTTGTCATGTTCGCTGCCATTTGCTTGGCGAAGCCCCGCAGCGAACACTCGTTGGGACTCGCTCGGAGAAACCCCTAGTGAAGCCAAACAGAAGCAAAAGGTAGCATTCGCTGCCCAGTTCTCCTGGCGAAGGCTCGCCCCCATTCGCCCAGCGAATGCACGCAAATTCTGCAGAAAAATTGTTGTTCAGAAACAGCCCCACACCCCGATTTCGCCCGATTAAATCAAAGCCTACAATCATCTACATACTGCAACTTAACTACGGTTCTATTTCCCGATTCTATCTGATAAAACGCATCATCGGCTCAAATTACCGACTTCCGGCATAACTCCGAAACTACTCAAAAATCCCAAACTCATTCATCCCAATATTCTCAGCACATGCAATCGAATTAAACATCAATCAACACAACAATAACAACATGCAAACAACATCAATCATCAAAGAATCTATGTGGATAGGGATTTCCCCTTTCTACCGATTAATCATGTATTTATCGAATTTAACCGATTATTCTCCCCCCTTACCTCGAAATGCAGTTTGATGATGATGAAGCTTCGCAATCCACACAAAAATCTTTCTTGCTCAAGCTTCTGCTCTTGATCGCTCTCTTTGATCGTGTTTCTCTTCCTTTTCTCTTCTTCGTGCGTGTTCTTCTCTTCTTCCTTCACTTTCTATTTTCACAAATTCCAAATCTACCCTTAATACCCCAAAAATCACTTATATTCCAAATAAATAAATAATTCTCATTTTCTTAATTTCCAAAAATTAATATTATCACTTCATAATACCAATATTAATAATAATACAATAATAATAATAATACGAATATCAACATTAATATTAATTATTAATTATTATCATTATCGATTATCAAATATTAATATTATGCCTCTATTTCTTCTTCAATTCCCACACCAAAACACGCTGACGAATAAAATAACACTGGAACTAAAAATAATTAAAATGGTCGTTACAAATATCATCATATTTGTGTTCAACATGAAAAATCGAGCAAGAGGGTGTTTTGATTATTTCGTTTTGATGAGATTTACAGTTGTCTCCGGCGACGTGCTACTGGAGAAGATGACCGAAGCCCTAACTCCGGTGTATGATGTGGCCTCTGTTTGACTTGGTTGACCTGCGTATGTGTCATCCCACCTGGTTGTGACATGACGCCAACACATTTAATGAAATGCCAACGTGTTTTTTTCTAAGCTTAGTTTGATTCTTGGGCCTAACACTTTTCCTTTTCAAACCACCCTTATTCATGGCCCATGCACACCTTCAACCTTTCCCCAGTTCATTTCAAACTTTCTGATACAACCCCATCCTTTTATTTTATACTATTCTTTTTCTTATCATTTTCATTTTGATTTTTATTCTAATGATTCCTTTTATTTAAAAATCCAAAAAAAAAAAATTAAATCTTTTCTTAATTATTTTATCATATTTTTTATTTTTATTTTAAAATTAATTTCCTATTCTATTTTTATTTATTTGTAAAAGGTGTTTACCTAAAGTACCCCTAGACTAGGGTTTTCATTCTTGATGCTTTAAACACTTTTTCTTGAGACATTTTTTTGCTAATTATTGACATCTGGTATGATGATGTTTGAGTGCTTTTGCTGGACTTTGGTGTTGTTAATTTGTTTGTTTTTCATTTGACTTTGTGTCCTTCCATTTGTGCTCGATTAGTGAAGTCCCATGAACTTGTTGATTGATTTTATGTGAGCACTTGTGCATTTCTTTTAGATATATTTTTCCACACATACTCTTGAGCATATTTTCATGAGGTAGAGCCATTAAATTTCATTTATTTGATCATTTTCCTATTTTTGATTGATGCCTCAAGTTAAGTTTGTTTTGAACATGATCTTGATTTTCCTTTGACCTAGTTTTTGAATATGCTTTTTGTGTGAACCCCTTTGATGTTTGGTTATTTTAACTAACTTGAATATTATGGTTTAGCTTATGACTTCCTTGGCCTCAACGTGTATTTCTTGTCCATTTGGTGTTTCTTACTTGTATAGAAAGTTGGTTACCTTTTGTGGTTGATATGGATTGATACATGCTTAGTTCTTTACTCTTGTCTTGAGTATAAGTCTTGTTGAGTTTCTTTAAAATTATGGTGTTGTTTATGAGTTGAAATGCTTGGCTGTGATACTAACCCATCTTGGTTTCATGCTTTAACTTCCATTTTTGAATCATCTTTGATCTCCTTCTTATGAACTTGTTATGACAAGTGTGTGACCATTGTTTTGATACATTAATTGATCCTCTTGTGCTCTTTTCTTAATCATTTGAGTGTGTTGGATGTGATGTGATACAACTACTGACTTGCATGAGTTCTTACCCTACTTGGTTCATTTGGTGCTTGTGTTGATGTTGTTTGACACTTTAAGACACACATGTTTGCACTACTTTGCTTGCCTTCACCTATAACATGTTGTGTGCCTTCTTGGTGACTTGTTACTTTGCATATTGAGTTGATTTGGTTACCTTAGCATTTACTTTGCATATGTTGCCATATATTTTTGCCTTTACCTTTGATACTTGAAGCCCTTCTTGGTGCTCCTTTGATATTGCTTACCTATGCCTAATTTCAAAGGAAATTATCATTTCTGTTGACTTGTAAGTCATATTTAGGATAGTTTAACTTTACTTACCATTTTCTTGAGGCCTTGTTAGATTCTTTAGTTTTTCCATCCTAGCCTTAGGGTTAGAGTTGCTTAACTCTATGTAGGAGTGTCATTGATATGGACACTTACTTCTCCTTTAGACCTTGTTAGAGTCCCTTCCTTTTTATCCTAGTCTTACGATCATAGTTGCCTAACTCTATGTAGGAGTGTCATTACCATGGACACTTACTTCCTATTTGGACTTTGTTAGAGTCCTTTCCCTTTTTATCCTAGCCTTAGGATTAGAGTTTCTTAACTCTATGTAAGTATCATTGCTATGGACACTTACCTCCCCCTTGGAACCTTGATCACTATCAAGTGTTCCTCACTCGTAGTTTGGTGAATTACTAATACTCTGATTCCATCCTTGTTAGGATACGCAGGCATGAGATGCGATGTCTAGGCAAACATACGTAGAAATAACCTTAGGTTTTTCCCTTAGAACATCTCCCAAACAATAGCAAATAATAACATAACATAAATACAAATAAAAGATTCCTGTAGAGTACTACAGATATTTAGGGCGTTAGTACCTTCCCTTAGTATAACCAACCCCCGAACCTTAAATCTCTTAACTTTGTTGTTACATTGCACTTAGGGTTTTATTCGTTCTTTTTTCCTTTCTTTGGATAAATTAAAGTTTAGTGATAAATATTTAAAGATTTGTGATTTAAGTTAATTTACTAGTTTGATATTCGATTTTCACTGCGACACTTTGTTTTATGAAAAGACTAAACATGTATTTCCTTTGAGAGATAAAGATGTCTTGTTCTGAATAAGCTACCTCAATTCCTGACATATACTTGATATTTTTCATGTCTAATACTATTCCAAAAACTCTAATCGTCTGAGTCTGAAGAAAGTACTTAAAATGAATACCTTATTGGTGAGTCTCAAATATCTGATACTTGAAATTTTAATTTGAACGATACCCTTTGGTTTAAGAAAAAATAAAAGATCTTGTCCCTCCATTTATAGATATATTATTTTTTTAATATGTCTCTTCTGAGCATATTTTCATACAATATCATAGTTTTATTACAATTATTGATTTTGTGAGAATTTCATCATTTATTGAAAAAACATTAAAATGTAAAAATTGGACTCAAATTATGAGTGAGGAAAACATTCATATACGATTGAACTCCTCCAAAGATTGTCTTTCTCAAGTCAATGGGCAATAAGACTTGGAAAACAATCATAAATGATTGAACTTCTCCGAAGGTCACAACTCAAGATAACATTGAAAATTTGAAGTCTGAAAAGATTGGTCAAAGAAAAAAGACGAAGAAGCATTTTGTAATTCTCATGCCCCTTAATGCAATTTACAATGAATTTGACAAAAATATCTTCAAAATCATCAACATACACCAATGTCAAAGAAGCTTTGAAAACTGTTGAAGTTGTTGATAAAGACACATCCAAAATTTATATGTCAAGACTTCAACTCCTCGCTAAGACTTCCATAAAAGAGAAGATTACTAGACTTTGTGAAAAATACATAGAATATATTGAACTAAGACTTCCATAAAAGAGAAGATTACTAGACTTTGTGAAAAATACATAGAATATATTGAGAATCCCTCAAATCATAATGCTTATATTGATCCACTTCACACTTTGATCTATATCTTCAAAATTTACAAACACGATATTCAATTTTTTTTAAGTGAAGATTCTTAGACTTCATATTCAAATCTGTAACAATGATACATCAAATCTGACTAGATTTCGTAACTAGAATGCCTCTTTATTATTGAAAACCAAATTGAGGTGCTAGTGCTAGTTAATCATATCATATGGTGGCATTCAAGGGGTTGAAAGTTGAAACAATAGTGCAGAGACTAAAGAAGATGGTGGGCAACAATTAATCGAAAGAGAAAGCTATATGGATGAATGTTAGGTTATTGGCATGTAAAGTACAATGGTAATGTCTCTAAGTTTTGCCAATTAGAATGCAGGGTTCTATGAAGAATGATTGTGAAGCATATTATAGTTACTAGATGGTTTCATTTCAATGTGATGACATATATACATACACTTAGTACAATACAGCAACTTCACATAGTATAAATTTTAAAATCAGAAGGAACTACATCCAATGTAAAGTGAAATTTCGACTTGTGAGGCGTTAACATGGATCTCTTTACTAATCTAACTACTATTTTTGTTGTGCTGGACATAACTAAGGTCTTCAGCTTCTCTCACTAAGACTTCCATGAACCCTTTCCTGAAATCAAAGACTTCATTCATTAGTAAACTTGATCCAGTGATGATAAATGAAACTAGCAGATACAATATGAAGTTGAGTCGATGCCCCATAGTAACCCTACCCATTTTAATCAGTAACGGGAGTAGGAAACATTTTCCACGCAATACAAATAAATACTGGTATCTTTGAGTATTCCACCCGGAATGGTGAGGACAAAAAGAAATCATTAACAAGACCTTCTATAAAAGACTATGACTTACTATGAGTGAATCGATCTGATTGGATTTTCTGTCAATCTTCTCCAAACCATCCTCCCACAATGAATTAGGGTCAAGATCGCAGTGAAATAAAGGAGAGGAATGCCAACAGCGCAACCCCCAGGTACCAAATTTACCATTGTCTGAATAAGGTAACAGCAAATCATATTATCAACAAAATGAATTGCAGTGTACAGAAAGTCGAGTCATTTGCAAGCTATTCAAGCTTGAGTCGCCATAGGCAATCACTTAGATAAAAGCTTTTTGTATGATCAATGCACGGTTTTTTTAAGGCAGTGAATAATTTATTATAACCTATTTCTACATCCCAAAGTAGTTGGGTTAATCATTTTACAAACTTTTCAAATATGCAAAAGAGCAAAACTTGTACTACCCTTACATCACTGGGCTGTTTTTCAATGTTGCTTTTATTTTAGTTTGCAGCATGCCTTTCTTAATGTATGAAATCAGCTGTACGAAGGCCCGACCCAACAAGACATACCTCTATCGTACAACAAAAAAGTATGTGGCATGCTGGCTACACAAAGTTAAAGCAATGCCAAGGAAACTGAAAGGACCAGCAAACTAAAATAAAGGCAACATTGTTGTAGCTTCATAGCAGCAGCTTCATTAGTGTGGCTATAAAGTATCTCTGATTATTTTTTAAATTGTAAATTGGAGATTATGAGTCATTCATTTCACCTATGCTGGAGTACAACAAGAGAAATTTGTTCCACGTCGTTGTTCTGTGTATTTCTAACCTTAGTCGCGTGATTTTTAGTATTCAAGGGATGAATTAGGTTCTAAATTTTCAGCTAATCCAAAACAAGTTCCAAAATGATCAATGTAAACTATGTCAAAACAAACTGAACATAATTGATATTTAAATAAACTCATTGTGAGTTTTTACCAGCATTCCTGCAACAACGTGAACAATAGGAACAAAATAACAATCCACTTTGTTCCCCTCTGCATATCCATTAAATGCAATGACCATCGAAAAGGTGTGGATGGTGACAAATGCAAGAGCAATAACCGCTGCAATCATATAAAAATAGTGAACAATTTGGGGGAAGGAAATCAAACGTTAAAAACATGATTTCTTAAAGTAATTTAAAAAATCCCCAGTTGCTGTTTATGCACCCAAAAAATGAGGTTTGACAGAAAAGCCCACTTATAGACTCACATGAATGAAATAGATATACAGTTAAGCCTCAAATACAAAAATTTCCAAAAAAGTTTGAAACTGGAGAATCCCATGCATATGAGAACTAGCGGTGGAGAAAATCTCACCAGAAAGAAGGAAAAATGGAATCTTTGAACACTTATCAACAAAATATGTAGCTGGACCAAATGCAGGAGTCAATAGGCTGATACAGAAGAACACAGCATGGGCCACACCATGACCCAAACCACCAGCTGTGAAAAATATGCAAAACAGATTTCATCAACATAGGTTATTATTTACGATTTACAGATCTTATTCCAATAAGCAATATCTTTTCTCAATAGCATCTCAAAACGGGATTCATTTTATCATGAAATTATAATCAATCAAGGATGTGTGTTTTTTATCACAATCGAAAGCAAACAAAATAGGTAAGAAAGAGTTATCTTATAGTTCAAAGCTGGTCATAAACAGATACTTGAGAAAACAAGCTTGAAAGCATCCATTTTTCTTACCCAGAGCAATCAGCATTTTATCTGTCAGGAAAAGATGTGGTTTTGATACTCTATCAGCAAAAGCATCTAAAATATCTTCTAACCTTCTACACAAGACCAACCAAAAAATAAAAACATAAACCCAGAATCAGTACCAGCACAAGAATCATCACTATAATATTACAAAACAGTTCCAATAATAAATATTCACAAATTTCCTCATCATATTGTATGAAAATGTACATTCAAGGCCGATAAAACAATGAACATCCATCTTTGACCAAGGGATATAATTTTCACAATTAACCGAACCTTAAACCTCCCACTAAAGAGTATTCTTTATACATTCTCCTCACTCCCAAACCAAGCATGCTTCCACTATTGTAAAGGAGTTTCTAAAAACATCCAATCCAACAATAATAACTACACAGCACACAGAAAGTCATGTTTGGTGTACGACACAATACCAACCCATATGATAACATTCAATCACTTGCATTTTTTCAAATTAACATGTATCAGTATCAATGTCATGTCCAATTTACGTGTATGTGACATTATTTCGCAGGTCTAATGGTGAAATTGCAGAGAAAAATTAGAAAAGTTAAAGTCAAGCATACTTAAATATTTTCCAGAAGAAAAGCCTGAGTCCTTCTTGGAAAGCAACGGATGAGAGAATGAGTATTCCATAAGGCCAAACTGCAGTAGTATTCAGTGGAAGAAAACCCCTCCATATTCCAGACAACACAATTAAGCTTATAAGCCACAATAGTGTACTGCAATCAAACAAAAAAAACAAAATTTCATAAAAACCTAATAGCACAATTAAACTAAGCAAAAAAAAAGAAGCATCATTTGAAGTAGTTACAAAACCCTAGCTTCAAATGCAGTGTAATTGATGAAACAAGTGAGAGAAATTTGAAATAATTGAGATCGAATCGACGAACCTTGAGAGAACAGTGAGGATCAAGAATGGTTTTTTGGAAATTACGGAAACAAAGAGGGAGAGAGACGGTCCTAGAGCTATCAGCGCGTACCCGATTCCTGCTGCTACAGTCATTGTAGTGTCTCCCACTATCTAAAATGAGAAGAAAGGAACTATACAGTTCTGTGTCTTGTTTTCTGCTCGGGTCCTCCATTGATGAGCCAAGACAAAAGCATGATGATGGAGCTTCGGATTTCTTGTCCGGATTATTGGTTCGGGTCGGATCAGTAAGCCCGGTTGTGCTCTCTTGGGCCTTAAGAAACAACAATGAGTTGGGCTATTTGAAGAGAATTGTACCTAACACCCTTTTAATTAAGGGATTTCTTAATGCACTCGATATGTTACTTAAATACTATGTGAAAATATTAAAAGATCTTTAGATTTTGGAGATGCACCTTCAAACGTATTATGAGATAATATAATTCTGACTTAATGTTAAAATATTTAAGAGATACATCTTTAAATTTATTTCAGAGATGTATCTTTGAAAAATATTGCAGCTTAAATCGTGTCATAACCATTTTCCTTCCTCATTTCTAAAGAAACTTAAAACTTTATCAAATTCTCTCAAAAAAATTCTAACAACCAAGTCCAAAATCAAATGATCAAGCTCAAAGGATCTTCAATCAACATTAAGGACGTCAGAGACATCATTTAACACTTGTGAGTGTTATCTACAAATTCAATTGCGTTTTGAATAATATCAAACATGGTAGTATATCGTAGCGTTTTTGTATATTAGACGATATCAACCTACATTTAAATGTTCATTTATCATTTTAGCCTTAAGATGCATAAAAAGAGTCTTTGAGCAAGTTTGATAGGTCTTAAGCATGTCATACACATCAAAAACCATGTTTTGTGTCAACATAACTGCACAGGCCGACCTATACATAATCAGGTAGACTTATGGAATCTTTTGCTTTAGTATAGGTCGGCACATCCAAAATTCAAGTCGGCTCCCAAGCTCCAAGAGTGAAGCATGTAGGCTCTGCCCGCAGGTTGCCTCATAGACCGACCTGAACACCTTCATAGGTCGACCTGTTGCTTTCATAGGCTGACCTATGCAACTTCAAACTTGAAAATTTCTTTTTGCATCTTATTTGTCTTGCATCCTCTTAGCCTATTTCCACATACACATATATATACTCATACATGCACCTTTTTTCTAGTAACGTTCTAGAGAGTAAAACCTTAACGAAACCAGATTACAAAGTTGTCCATCATTTTCATCTCTTCTTCTATGCATACACACAATTGAACAACACATAATTATTTTTCGATTGAGTGACCATTTAGATTATAGTTGATAATGTCCAATTATATTTGGTGTAGCCGAGAATATTGGGTTGGGAGCTTTGTGTGTTTCAAATAAGAAAACCAAGGTGATATTTTTCTTCAAGATCAATGTGATTTGAAGGTTTTAGACAAGATCACGTCAACACAGATTTGACCGAGTGAAGGCCTTGGGACAAGATGGTTTCCTTGTAAGGAAATCTTGGGAATCAACAAGTTGTGTGGTCGGGAAAATCGGTGGATTGGAGTTGCATTGTTTGTCACTTGATCAAGCTTTGATCAAGGGTTTGGAGGTGGAAGAATCAACAAAAAATAATAGGGTTTTTGAGGCTTGCATTCTTCATCTCTTGTATGAACGATTTTGCAAGGAAAATGTTAATTGCAATTATCTCAATTTGATTTGAATTGAGGACATACGTACCCATAGCGATGTCGATTGGGGAACTGCCTAAACAAATCTTGGTCTCTCTCTCTTTTATCTCTTTATCACTTTAATTGTTGATTTCACAATTTATAGAGTTCATCGTTGTTTGATCAATTTGATTGAAAATTGTTTTTAAATCATCTTTTAAAAGTGTTGTTGTTGATATAATCATAATCACTTTGATTGTGTTTGACTTCTAACATCAACGAAACAAATTGAACTTTCAATTACTATCGATTGCCTACCAAATGTTTAATATATTGTTTGTGCGTATTTTTAATTGGTTTTTTGGTTAATTGGAAATACGAGTTACGAATAACTTTGCATTTAATTGAATCGTAGCTTGATCGTTGTTGCACATTTATGTTCATTATCATTCTATTTGGTTTGTGATACTTATATAAATTTTCGATAGTAGGTTCGGTTAGACGATTCGATCCAGGTTGTTTTTCCGATGTGCCATATTTTTTAAAACATATTTTTGCCAAAGTTTTTGGTTGTAAAATTTGTGATTTATTCACCCCCCCCCTCTAGGTTGAAGCCTATCGTCTAACAAGTGGTATCAAGAGCTCTAGTTCATTCCGTGTTTGATATATATTTCTTAGAAAAATGGCTACTGAACCTAAGGGTGCGTACAATAGAGCACCAATTTTCACCGGTGAAAATTATGGCTATTGGAAAGCTCTTATGCATATACATGTCAATTCCGCTGACAAAGGTATATGTGACACTATTCAAAATGGTCCGAATGAAATAACCATGACCAATGAAGGTTTTATCGTACCTAAACCGGAAGCACAATGGGATGCTAATGATTGGAAATTACTATCACATGATTGGAAAGCGAAAAACATTTTCACTTCTGCTTTGGGAGTTGATGAGTTTTATCGCGTTTCTCATTATGATACTGCCAAGGCTATGTGGGACGCATTAGATATTTCCCATGAGGGCACTAATGATATCAAACAAGCTAGGATCAACACATTAAATCAAGAGTTTGAGCTATTCTGTATTGAGCAAGGTGAAACCGTTGCGGATATGCGAAAAAGGTTCTCACATCTTATTAATCGATTAAATGCACTAGGTAATTTTGAGGTGTTTAAGTAGGGAATGGCAACCAAAGATTACTGCTATTAAAGAAGCAAATGATCTTAAGCCTCTTGATCTTACGACTTTGTTTAGTAAGTGGGAAGAGCACGAGCAAGAGCTTACTTGCTTGACTAAATACAAAAAGGAATATGAAAAGAGATCGAAGAATAAGAAATGAAAAGACAAAGAAGAATGGAAGAAGTTCATTTCTCCAAAGACTTCTAGATCAAGGCCTTCTCAAGATTAGCAAAGGGAAAGTGAATCTAAAGATGATAATGAATCTGACAAAGAAGATTTTGGATTGTTCATAAAGCGAGTCAATAAATACGTGTCAAAACATGGTGACAAATATCCCAAAAAGTATCGTGATAAATTAAGAAGGTTATCTGTAACACCCCAAATTTAATCGGAATATTTAATTAATTATTTAATTGAGAATATTCATATTTTGGTGGTTTTGGTGGTTTTGTGGATTATTGGGAATTATGCATATTTGGAGTATTTATTTTGAAATAATAGTATGTAATATGGATTTATTAATATTATTAGGAATTAAAATAAATATAAGAGGAATAAGGGTAAATTGGACATTATGAGGAGTTAGTAAGGATACTATGGGAAAAGCCCGATTGTGTGGCCCAAGTCTAAGTTTGACAAAATAGAATTCTGAAGAGATTTAGAATTCATTTGTTAATCGTGGAAAGTTGGGTGGTCAGAGCTCTGAAGGAAAGGTTGGAGGCAGAAGATCCCAAAGTTAATCGTGAAAGCTGCGAATCGACTAAGGTATGGGGAGTATCACTGTTCATGATTTTCTATGTATGCCTTTAGATGTGTTTATGGTTGGTTTATGATTTAAGGTATTTTGGGTTAGCTGTGGGAAAATAGGGAATTTGATGATAAGGCTTTGAGGTTAGGGGTAATGGTATGTAACACTGAATATTGATATGAGAATGGAAACCTTAGCCTTCGTGGCGAAAACCTTGGGTTGTGATATGTTTGACCCTGTAGGAATAGGAATGTTCAGATGTGAGTAACTCTGATGCACTCAGAGCAATTGCAGGAAAATAGTGATTTAGGCAGTGCAAATGTTGCCAGATTGGCCTAATAAACCATATATGTTGTGTCGTTATCGTCGTATGGCTGTAGGGATGATTTAGGGATGTTTTGGGGGCATTTGGTAAGTGAATCGTATGAGTATTTGGATAAGAATCAGTTCTGGTCGTAGCAGGTTTTTGCTGTCATCGATCTGTTCGCCTAGCGAGCAAGCTAGCGAAGGTTCGCTACAAACTCGCCTAGCGAGCAAGCCAGCGAAGGTTCGCCACAGACTCGCCTAGAAAGCAAGCCAGCGAAGGTCTGCCACCTACTCGCCTAGCGAGCAAGCCAGCGAACGTAGCAGAGTTCACAAAATTGATCGTTTTGCAGCGATGCCTTGATGTTTGATTCGAAGATTTATGAGATGAGTTAACATGAGTATGACAGTGAGGAATTATGTGATCGATAGGCGATAGTGTGAGGATTACCGCGGGTATAAGTTGACGAATTAATATGAGATACTATGGGGTAGTATTATGAATTAATATGTGATAATATGTGATCATATGATGGGCTAATATGAGGATGACTATGAGTTAATATGTGATTTGTGCGTGATGATATGACGATTTCCATGATGTGTGATGATGATTATTATGATAAATTATATGATGACATGATGTATGAGCTTAATTATTATGATGAATTATATGACGAATTATGTGATAACCTGAGATAGGATGATTTATGTGATGATGATTATGACGATTTATGTGATAGCATGAGATATGAGGATTTATGTGATGATGAATATTATGACGTTTGATGAATATGATGAATATGATGAATGATGATGCACCATATGTTGTATTGTGAGGATTATTATTATGGCGTGTGCATTATGCATTCATGTGCATTTGGACTTCGGTTTAGGACCTCGATTATTTTGACTTCAATCCCACTGTGCGGATGTGAAGTATTTTGATGTGCTCCAGTTCTCAAGTAGAATCGATCCTATTGATGAGGATCTATGGAGGGTTGATGGCCCAGTGTCCATTGCACTGTGATGATTGGTACCACATGCATTGAGTCTATGTTGCATTTGCATTTATGAGCTTTTGTGTATAAACTATGATGTTGTGGCCTTCGAGGCCTATTAAAGGATATGAATGTGTTGAATATAGTTATGATGCCATTTATGCATTAATTGTTATACATTGATTATTATGAATTG